GGTCCCAGATTATATCAATAACGTCACAAACTGTTTAAAGTCTCTGTACCTAGGGTATTTGCAACCTTGCCTTTCCTGACAGGCCTAGTAAAATGCCCTTTCCCTTAGCCATGCATCTGAATGGTTTTTGGGTCCCACCAAGGCTAGAACCTACAAGGCCTATGTGCTTGAGCGTCTACAGTGATTGCCTCCAAGATGCGATGCACCTGGCACCACAGGGGTTTGGTGTACTCTAGTACAGAGTAGCCTGAATAAGTTACACCAGTTTTGCTATGAACTGTTTGGGACAGTAAACATCAGAAGCTCTGTCCTTCACTAGAGAGCAGTTAGGTTACATTGACATCAGGGAAGGTCATACTGTTCTTATGCCAGAGCACATCAATGACCAGGTTCTGCTTTCCAGCCCCTTTCACCAAGCAAGTTTGGCCCTGATTCTATATCCTTTTGAAATCAATGGGAAAACTCCCATTGACATGAGTGCTGCAGGTTTGGGGCCTTAGGGTTAAATCATGGCCCCATTGAAACCAATGAGATTTTGCCATTAAATTAAAGGGGTTCAGGATGCTGACCCTTAGTCTATTTTTTTCCTAAATATTTTCATGCCAGAGGTACTGAGAGGTGTTCTCATTGAAATCCAGGGGAGGCTGGTCATTAGAGGCTAAACCAGGGGTCGGCAACCTTTCAGAAGCAGTGTGCCGAGTCTTCATTTATTCACCCTAATTTAAGGTTTCGTGTGCCAGTAATACATTTTAACGTTTTTAGAAGGTCTCTTTCTATAAGTCTATAATATATAACTAAACTATTGTTGTATGTAAAGTAAATAAGGTTCTTAAAATGTTTAAGAAGCTTCATTTAAAATTAAATTAAAATGCAGAGTCCCCCGGACCAGTGGCCAGGACCCGGGCAGGGTGAGTGCCACTGAAAGTCAGCTCGCGTGCCGCCTTCGGCTCGCGTGCCATAGGTTGCCTACTCCTAGGCTAACCCGTCACACTACAACTATAAGCTATGTGCTGTAGCCTGTGTAGTGCCGTACCTCCAGCTGCCACTGGGGATTGCTCATGGAGTTGAAGCTCCCCCAGTTCCTAGAGATTGCAGTACACCTGGCTTCACGCTGGTCCTGAGGGCTTGCAGCAGAGGGAGGAGGTACAGAGCAGGGAACGGGATGCAAGATTCTGGGAGGTAATTCACTTCAGACCCACAGAGGCAGAGCACAGGGCTGCCTGCATGTGCACTCTGCTCACATGTATACAATTCAGTATTCTCCTGCAGACTGAAATTCCAAGGGAGCCAGTCAGAATAGGGAGGGTCTGAAATAAAATCCTGGGCCTGAATCAAACCCCCGCACTTTGGGAAAGCCCATATCCATCTGCAGCAGCTTTTTGTGGTTGGGGAAGACACTCATCTCAGTATCTGAACTTTATTTATTTATTCAGGATGGGCATAAGTCACAATCATGGTGATAATCATTTTTATTTGTGAATCACCATTCTCCCTAAGCTCCACTCCCTCCAATACAGATGCTAAACATAATGAAAACAAAATGCAATAATAATGATTGCAAATGGAAAAATAGTTTAGCCTCAGTTAATTGCTGCTTTAACACTGCTTAGGTCTCCCTTAGCAGACAATTTTGATTTGTAGTTTGCAAGCAGTTTGTTGTGAGCGTTTGATATTTGAAATTCAAAATGTGTGGTTAGCTGTGAATAGATACGTGTGTTACATGGTCTGCTTCTGTTACCTATTTTCTCTGAATTTGTACACAGGTTCCCCTTGTGCAAATACGAGCATTTGCTGATTTATAACTCACTTTCTGCAACTATTTTCCATTGTTTGCTGTTTTCACAAATGTTTCCGTGTAAACACATTCACTAGCCTATTCATGAAGAGCAAACACAAAAGAGGTACAAACACCTCAAACAAGCACCACAAACAAGCAAATTCATTTAAAAGTAAGACTGGAGATTCACAGTAGTAATCCAGCGCTAGTTCTCAGTTATGTTCAGTTTCTTGACCCTGGGGCAGTTGAACTGAGCCTTTCCTATCAAAAGTGCCTTGCTCACAGCACCTGAAACCACTTCACTGCAGGAAGAATCAATTTCTCCCTCTCTTCTCTCCCACCCCCATCACCTCTTTTGCCTTCTTTGTTTTTCCTTTTAGTCTCTCATTTAACTCATCCTAGTGTTTCCTTCCTTCTCCCCCTTTTGTCTCTGCCTGCCCCACTGATGGCCTGACTGAAGCCTCTTACGCAGCAGCACTTGCTGTGGAGGGGGAACTGTGACACTGTATGGAGTCTGGGGGACACCTGAGGATACTATGAATACCAATATTATAAAATTGCAATGAGTCATGCCAGATATGCCATGTAAGATAGCTGCAAAAATGTTATAATTTGCCAGATATGATAATCTCATTTGTGTGTTTGTATCATTTTTGCATTATGAGTTATAGATATATATGTCTGTATTTCAAAACTTGTGCTATGCTTCGGGTGACACCCACAGACAGTTTGGCATCAGCACTGCCTAGCCAGCTTGATGGCCCATTCAGGACCATCAGCTATACAATTGAGCCATTGAGAGAAGGCAGATATACCTTATGACTCAGCCAGGCATGCAGGGACATGCCTATGGACAGAACTCTAAGGCTATCAAGCCATGGGCTGGGCAGCTTGTGGTTGAAACAAAGGAAGCAGAGGCCGCATGGCAAAAGACTATAAAAGGCAGCTGCATCTTCTCCATTTTGTCTTCAATCCTGCGTCTTATCTCTGGAGAAACTTTGCTACAAGCTGAAGCTCTGAACAAAGGACTGAATGACCCATCCAAGCTGTGGATGTGTTCCAGAGGGACTTTCAAGCCAGAAAACTCACCAGTTCTGCTAGAAACCTGATATATGGACTTCGAAGTCTTTGTATGTATGTAACTGCTTTACCATTTAACATCTCGCTTCTTGTTCTTTCCTTTTTCTTTATAATAAACCTTTAGTTTTAATCACTAAAGGATTGGCTGGCAGCGTGGTATTTTGGGTAAGATCCAAACCTATACTGACCTGGTAATGTAGCTGACCCTTTGGGGTCAGAAGAACGTTTTATATATGTGAGTAGAGTTTTAAAATAACTTTTCACTGTACTGGACCTAGCTACTGCCTGGGAGCCACAGAACTGGAATGCAATAAAGGGGGCTGTGTGAGTTCTTTTTTGCTTCTTGATAACACTGCTCTACAGCCAAAATGCTTCTGAAATAAATGTAGTCAAACTTTACTAATTCTGGGTCACTGAGAATGAAAATGATGCTTAAAATTGTTCATTGGCTCTAGTTTTCAAGATATGCTATTGGGTCAGTATATACGACCCTTGACTTGGAAATGGCGGAGGATAAGTGAGTTATAAAGGGAAGGGATCTCAATTTAAACCAGAAATGACTAAAATACATCTTTGACTGGATCTATGAATAAATCTATGACTGGGTTTGGACAGTACTTGCTTTTTAGGCAAAACAATGAATGATGCAATCTGAAGCTGGTATTGCGTCATACATGATATGAATTGCATCATGTTATTCCTAGAAGTCATGGATGATCAATCATAACGAAGCTTACATCACTCTGCTGAACAAATTGCCCTAGATCAGCTCTAGAAATCATACAGTGTCGTGCTCTCTTATTTGTCAGTGTTTGATTTTGCAAAGGGACACATTTCTGTTTAGCCAAAGTGAGCAGAGATGCCTCGTACTTGTGTGAACAGTGCAGATAACTTTTGCTATGTTTGTGGTGAAGTGACTTTTGCATCACAAAAGCGCAGTATAATCACTATGGTTAAGAAAGCCTATC